TCTTTTTGGAATGAATGCTGAAATGTGCAATCTTTGCACTCACAAACACTTTTTTTGTAGCTAATTGAAGGCCCAGGAGTCCCTGGACCTGCTGCTATAGTTTAGGTGCTAACATTTCCCTAAAGAAGAGTGTAGAAGGCTTACTTGGTCACCAGCCTGGAACCACTGGAAGATGGTGGACTTTTAGGCGTGAGGCTTGGTTGAAGGCAAGTCATCAGCCCTTCCCTCTCCTTTGCTTCTTGGCTTCATGAGACAAAGCCTCTTTCAGCTGTATCTGCTACCAAGTTTTCTATTGCTGCAAGCCTAGATCAGAGATCTGAAACAGTGGGGTAGTATAAACCTTTAGTCTATAAAAGCTGACTTTACTTTGGATGCTTTGATACAGGGATGGAAATTGAACACATCAGCCATTATGCTAGTTGTATTATCACAACTATTCCTGTTTACTGAGGTCTCTGTTTGGTCTGGAGTTCCCACACACCAGCTGTCACAGTGGCAGCTCCTGCCTGCTGCAGGGTATTTATACACAGGAGCACACCACATCAGAAGTGCTAGGAATGTGCTGTCAGCTGATACAGCCACTTCCACTGAATAAGGACTTTCAACTTCAGCTTAATAAGAACCACATCAGTTACCAACCACATCAAGGCTTGCCGGTTTGTTGTTTTAAAGCAAAGTTTCAGCGACGCATATCTAAAACTCTTAGACATTATAGGGGAAGCCCGTGTGGGGAATCTTGCATCGCTTGGCTAAATTTACACTAAATATAGACCACCAATTATGTGCTGGGTTTATGGGCTTCGGGGGAGCACTTGTGAGCAGCAGGAAGATCAAGAGCGAACTACAGAATTGGTAGAAAGTTTTGCTGTAGTTGTTCCTGAATAGTTGTCTTTTCCAGGTAGCTGAGCAGTCCAGGTTCATGGTTTTTTGTAAGTAATTTGCATGTTATTCCTTACTGAGACAGAATGATGATTCTGGAGTCCTTCGGGTTTTCACTGCATGCGTCCTGTGCTTTTTTGACTGCTCATAGAAAAGATGTACACTTGCTTTTAAAAATTACCTCCTGATTCTGAAGTGTGAACTCAGTAGTGCCATTCCTAAATGGCCATGAGTCACTCAAGGAAGCATCCTATTCAGCTTTGAGTTCAGCCTTCATTGGTAAACAATTCTGAGTTTGTAGCATAAAATATGGTGTGAGTTATTTTTCTGCTTTGATACCAGTACCGGCAGGGGGAACATACAACGAGGTTTTTTTTTTTCAGAGACAATTTTTATTTGTTGAAGTGTCCTACTGGTAGAAAACCAAGCAATTATCAAATGAAAGGCTCAGCTGTTAGCAGTGATCAAGAACACAGGAAAATGAAACTACTTACGCGTCTCAGTTCCAGGAAGAGAAAGGGTTCCATCAAAAGGATGCTGCCTTGGCCGTTTGTGAATAGGCAGATCGGCACAGTGGAGTTGGGGAGGAAGGCCAAGTTAGTGCGACACAGAATGGGGGACGCTCTGCACCAGCCTTGGTGGTTGTTCCTGAATGCCCTCATTTCAGCTGCCAAAGATAGCAACCACTGGCGTCAACAGCTGTGGGTTCTGGTTTTCAAGATGTGTCCTTGTATCCAGTTACTGGCAGGGTCCCTTGCAAGCCACCTGCAGGCTCTCGGAGGCCATGAATCACGCTGTCTTTTTTCTCCTCTAATTTGTCCTTCGTTTTAACATGTTGCAGTGCTGAAAAGGTTTATTGAAAAGACATCTGCCGATGCTGTGAGCTCACTGTAAAGATGTTTTCTTCCGGAGCTCGCCAGTATTTACTTGGTTTTATCTTAGATTTAGAAAAAAAAAATCTTGAACAAATTTTATTACAGATTTTATTCTAAATTATGTGTGTGAGAGGGACATGTTCATGCCACAAAACTTATTGGAGGTCAGAGGACATCGTAGGAGTCGGTTCTCATTGAACAAAGGTGAAGGAGATTGAGCTCAGGCTGCCGGGTTTAGTGTCAAGTCTCTGTCCCTTAGATATCTTGGCATCACCTTCCTAGTCTGTGGCAAGTAGAGTTTATTAACTGGACTATGAAAGCAGGACTTTTTATGCAGTGACTTCTATAGCTAGTCTTCTATTTTGTAAATAGTTCTCTGCCTCTCTCTCTCTCTCCCTCCCCCTCCCCCTCCCCTTCCTCTTCCTCTTCTCCTCCCCCCTCCCCCCTCCTGCAACAGTAGTGACATTCCTGAGGGTGGAACAGAGGAATGGATATTAAGTCAGATTTAGAAATGAACTGTGTCTCAGTTACCAAGCCCAAAATAGAAGCTGTGTTTGCAACAATGATCCAACCATGTGACACATGCAGCTTTTTTTTTTTCCTGGTCCCCTCCCCTCTCCACAAAAAATAGTATTTGGGATAATAAAGTATAAGGAGGTGATGAAACAGAAAGCACTTCTAGAAGTGTGGTTTTAAGCCCGGCACCTAGGCATCCAACAGCATTTTGAGGGCGTGGCATATCTTCTAAGGGGTAAGGTTTGCTCTCTCTAGGGCACTTTCCCTCGCAGCTGCGGCTGATTTTTAACTGTATCATGTCAAGTCATTCTCTTAGGACTGCCCCATGCAGTATGTTTGAAGTTCAATAATTTCAATATTTAAAGCGCTTTATAATGATGACGCCATACACATATTCTTTCCAATTAAATTTCAGGATAATGAAAACACACAGTTTGAATTTATGAGAAAAAAAATCAGTGCATGACTTTCTGATCTTAGATAGGGATCTATGAATACATTTAACACAAGTACCACTAAATTTGTAGGTGCTACTTGGAAATCCTCTGCCTCTCCCCCGAGCATGCGCATATAAGCCACATGTGTGTAGGCGCTCACAGGCCCAAGGAGGAGGTTGGATCCTCTGAAGCTAGAGTTAAAGGTGGTTGTGAGGTGCCTGACGTGAGTGCTAGGAACCAAACTCAGGTCCCAGAGTAGAGCAGCAGGCTTTCCCAATGGCTGAGCCATTGCTTCAGTCCTGAGGCTTTTGATAGATTCTTAAGAGTGTAGTTTTGGAGCTCACTAAGCATACTTTTTTCCAGATGTTCTATGAATATATTAGTACTCATCTCCACTTAGTTTCTTATAACTCTATGGTTGGGTCTTAAAGGAAATCTCTTCAAGAAAATGAGAATGGTGTCGGGAAGAAATGTGTTGTCACCTAAAAGCAGACACATTACTGCGTCCTCCGACTCTTTCTGAGTATTATTTTAATTATGTCTATGTGTGTCTGAGTATGTGCGTGTAAGTGCAGGTACCTAAAAAGGCCACAAGAGGGAGTTGGATCCCCTGGAGCTGGAGTTACAGATGGTTGTAAACCACTAGACACAGGTGCTGAGAACTGAACTCAGGTCCTCCGCAGGAACAGTACCTGTAACATCTGAGCCATCTCACTAGCCCCCTACCTTGACTTTCTAAAATGCCTTTAGACCCCAAACTTCATATCACCACTAACAAACTTTTTTTTTTGTTTTGTTTTTGTTTTTTTTCGAGACAGGGTTTCTCTGTGTAGCCCTGGCTGTCCTGGAACTCACTCTGTAGACCAGGCTAGCCTCGAACTCTCGAACTCAGAAATCCGCCTGCCTCTGCCTCCCAAGTGCTGGGATTAAAGGCGTGCGCCACCACTGCCTGGCGAGACAGAGTCTCTTAATGAACCTGGAGCTCACTGCTTTGGCTAGACTGGTTGGCAAATGAAGGAAGCCCTGCCATCTACTTGTCTACCATCACCCGTCACTGGAGTTATAGATGGACACCACAGCACCCTGCTTTTCTGTACTGGAGATGTGAAGTCAGGTCCTCAATCTCGTGAACAAGCACTTTACTCAATGAGCCATCTTTCCAGCCATGCATTAAAGAGGCATCACTATAGACTTGTCTAATCTATTCAGGCTTCTCAGTGTGGAAGTTGTGCTGTCCTGAGAGAATTACCTTACATGTAAAACTCAGCTGAAAAGGTATCTGTTATGTAGGTGATCTTAGTGTAGTGATCTCAGAAACCTGGTAGAAGAGAGCAGAAGGCCTGGGACAATCAAGATTCCTCTTTCTACTGGCTGGAGAGATGGCTCAGCAGTTAAGAGCACTCACTGTTCTTGCAGAGTACCTAGGTTCAGATCCAGTCACTCACATGGTAGCTTACAGCCTACCTTAACTTTACTTCTAAGAAACCCAGCTGTCTTTTCTAGCTTCCTTGGGCATCTGGCATGTATATGGAGCACATATATACATGCAAGCAAACACACAGAAAATAGAAATACCAATGGCAAGCTGTTAGTACGCGTGTTTGCTAAGATTTGGTCCTGGAAATCCATAGCCTGCATCGAATGGCTAAACGATATATCTGAGGACAAAAACTCAAGCCATTATTTACCCTGTGCGTGTAGGCGTGGTGCTTAAGTGCCGAGTGGCAGACAGAGGGGAAGCTTTGGAGATTCCGTTCTTTTCTTCTACCACATGGATTTCTGAAATCAAACTCATGTTGTGTGTGTGTTAAATTAGGAAATTAGAAGGGCTCATAGTTAAATATGATCTGTCTGTTTTATGGTCATTTTGTTGACTAGCTTATTTTGTCTTTATAAGTAATGTTTTTGCACAGAGAACTTGAAGCATATTAAACTAGGAATCATGTAATAGGAAAAAAAACATTTTGAGAGACAATTATGAAACAAAAAAATAGACCCAGAGGATACAAGATAGAAGTGGGCAAGCCAAGGAGGAGAGAAGAGTGTCACAGTTAAGCAGGGTATGAATGGCTGTATGTTAACCACACACTTGACTCTGGCAAGCAGAGGCAAAAGAGTACCGACTACATTGTCCAACCAAGGAAAGCTTTCCTCTAGACCCAGTGTGTCTTGCCCCTAGCCCAGCATCCGTGGCTGGTAACTTGTGTGTCTCTCCAGCTTCCCCCTGGTCTGGCTTGCGCAGCTCCCGAGCCCAGCCTCTTCTTCCTAATGCTGGTGCTTTCTTTCAGGCACAATGACTCATTCCTCTCAGGATGCTGGATCTCATGGCATCCCCGAAGAAGGGAAACTCTATGTTGTGGATTCCATCAATGACTTAAACAAACTCAATCTCTGTCCGACAGGATCACAACATCTATTCTGTACGTATGATCCTGGAAGCATGACTTTGGGACCTCCTAAAAACATCAAGGGCGTGGCGGAAGTGGTTGTGCTGTGGGAGCAGGGTGGGCATCACCAATCACTGGGAAATGTTGTTTATCATTTAGCGGCTTCTATTTTGGGCTCCCAATTTGTCAAAGCATTATTGACTTTCTGGGCTGAACTCATCAAAATTCCTGAGAGAAGCTAGGCATAGTGGCCTGTGCTTGTATTTCCAACACTTGGAAGGGTGAGGCAGGAGGATCATAAATGTAAGGTCAGCTTGGGCTATAATAGGTAGTTCCTGGTAGCCTGCCTGCATAGTAAGACCCTGCTCCATGTCTTGTTTTTTCCTTTAAAACTCTTGAGGAAAAATCAGTGGTGTTCTGTTACTGGGTACAGGGATTACTCAGTCCCTCTTGGCTGTTGTGTCTCTTGGTGACCATGGTTAGGTTCATTATAATCTCTGCTTCCCAGGGGTCTTGTTTTTTATCAGAGATTACCGAGGAAAATGCTCAACACATTCATCCATTTATTTTAAAAACCATTAAAGTTCTGTTATGCAAAAAGTCAACTTCCTCCTCTATTTACAAATTACAGATTGTCCAATTAAAATGTTAAAAGAGACATGAGAGCAAAGCAAAAACCTCCTGAATACACAGTGTATCCTGCTCTCTAAGTGTTAGAAACCAGGCCTTTTGGGGCCCCTTGGGCCCCATCTTTTCTAGCTTAACTGATGACTATTCAAACACAGTCCTGAATGGCCCATTTGTCATTTGCTTCATGTATTCTCTATGCTTACTGTCCAGTTCTATAACTGCTATTTCCATTCTTTTCTGGGTTCTTCCTTTTGTTCAGATTAGTGCAGTGGGAAGGGAGGTGTTGGTGTCAGCTGTGGTGTGGCATAGGTTAGGAAGCAGCAGCTGCTGACAGTCTGGAATATGGGATGTACTTGATTAGATAATCAAGCAGTATAACGTGTGGGGTTCACGGCTCTTAGTCAAGTTTTTCTGTGTGTTTTTAGGCAACCTAAGAGTTACAAAGTAGCTAATGAGAGGCAATTCCCAGCACAGAGCATTGAGAGGAAATGGCTTCTAGAGCAGATCTATCTTGGAAATAGCTTTAAGAAACCAAAATGCCCCAGGGGCTCTTTTGTCTAAATGGATATAGACCTGAGAGATTATTCTCATAATAAAAGCAGTTTCCTGGGATACACCACACAGCTTTTGGTCTTCCACTCAGGGAGGGCATCACATACCTAGCTCTGTTTAGGTTACCTAGGAGATGGCCAGTACAGCCTCTTCAATTTTCTATTTCTCTCCAAAGAATAATTCATGCCCCTCTACTCCACAGTGGACAGTTTTCAAAGAACCTTCCAAACAGATTCATATAGCTCAAGGCTACTCATTTTTTTTTTAAATTTCAACAGAGAAGGTAAACAGTTCCAGCATTGCTTGTCCAAAGGTGTCCCTAATGCAGAAGTCACTTTCCAGGGCTGTCCAGGGAAAACGAGTGTGTCCATCACATCTCTGTGAGATGCGAAGATTCTGTCACTTTGTTTCCTATCAGCTTTAGAGGACAAATTTTCAGATGCTGACAGGACCCCAGGAAATGGAAGGCGGGGGCTGTTTTTTCTGGGGCTGCTCCTGGTGTTAACAGTCAGCTTGGCTCTGGTCTTCTTCGCCATCTTCCTAATAAGTAAGTACTTCAGGCAGATCTGTCTCTACTTGTGTGTGTGTCCTTCGTGGCTGTTGCTTCTGAAAGTTAGCGCACCCTAGTCATCAGAAATTTCCAAGGGGGAGCAGGAAGGAGACCCAGTGTCTTAAGGGCACTTTGTTGCTCCTGGATTGGGTCCTTGGGTACAAGTCCAGGGCATGCTCCTACAGCACCAGGTTACATTTATGTTATAAGTGCATATAAGCTTTTAATTTGTCACCTGGAGCCTCTGCTGCCAAATTGTACGCAACATGTCCTACTTAATTTTGGTTTTCTTTATTCATCACATTTACATATAATACGCATTTTCCTGAGGTTTTTAACTCCATGTCGTGTTTCCTCATTTACACATTTCCCAGAAGGCTGTTCTGAGTAGCAAGGGCTCAAGCTAATGGCTAAGCTAGCTCTGGGGTTGTGAGCGTGAGTTACGTCTGTCCTGTTGCTTCTGCCCTGTCTGCTCTTGGCCTGGGCAATACACAGAGGTTTTCCCATACCTGCTCCTCAGACTAAAGACCCCTAACCTGATCATGTCTCTGTTCTGTCTGGATAGCAGGAGTGGGACTATCTACCTTAAGTGTGATGTGTGTGTGTAGTCTCTCTTCCATCAGAGCTACCACAATTCTCTCTTAGATGACCTTTTAAAAAAAACTATTATTGGGAATTATTACTATATTCTTTCATACTACAGAAAGCTACACAGGGCTGGGGATAGGGAGGATGTTATCATTGACAGCATTTTGAGTCTTCCATCTTGTCATTTTTTCTGCCCTTCCATGCTTTTGGCACCTGACAAGTTTTCTCTTTTTGAGGCAGGATCTCACTACATAGTCCAGGCCAGTTTTGACGTTGAGATTCTCCTGTCCAGCCTCCTGCGTTCTTGGAGTATAGGCATGTGTCACCATACCTGTCTTGCTTTCAGCAATTTTAAATAAGAAACGTAACATCGTGTCTTTGCAATGTTTCTTATTTAAGTTCATTTAGGGGCAGAGGAGGTAGAGGTGTTGGTGATAAGAAGACTCCTTTGGGTGTGTGAGGCAGAGCTTGTGGGAAGGGGTATCATATGACCTTTCCTGTGGGGACATGAAAAAAAAAGTGTCTATTCACCACACCCAGACAGACCAAAAAAAATGACCACACTCAAACCCAGCTTGGTGAACCAATGGGTTTACTGGGATTCTTTATATGCATTAAAGGTGCATTAGTAACTTTTCTGTTGCTGTGATAAAAACATACAGCAAAAGGCAACTTAAAGAAAGGGAGTTTGTTCACAATGCTGGGGAGACATGGCAGCAAGCAACAGGCATGGTGGAAGGAGCAGGAAGCTGAGAGGCCAAATCTTTCAGCACAAACATCAGCCCCTATCCCCAACGATGTACCTCCTCTAATCAGGCTCCACCATCTAAACCTCTCCAAATGGTGCCACCGATGTGAGCCAAGCAGGGCTACCTCAAAGGCAGTTTGCATCACCAGGGTACTGGGAATGGAACTCTGCTCATTTGAAAGAGCAGCAATTGCACCTTTCGAGCCTCCTCCCCTCCTCCTCCCCCCTCCCATTCCCCTCCTCCCACCTCCCTTCTCCTCCATCTCTTCTCCCTCCTCACAGGGTTTCTCTGTGTAGCTGTAGCTGTCCTGGAACTCACTCTGTAGACCAGACTGGCCTCGAACTCACAGAGATACACCCACCTCTGCCTCCTGACTGCTGGGATTAAAGCTGTGCACCACTGCCTGGTTTTTCTCCTCTTCCTCCTCCTCTTCCTCCTCCTCTTCCTCCTCCTCCTCTTCCTCCTCCTCCTCTTCCTCCTCCTCCTCCTCTTCTTCTTCCTCCTCCTCCTTCTCCTTCTTCTTCTCTTACTTCTTTACATCTCCTCTTCTGCGATGTTTTATGTGCCTTGGAGGGAGTAAAAAGGCATTTTGTTCACACATCCCCAGGAGAAGCCACAAAAAAAGTTGTTTAATTGCTTCTTTTCCTCCTAGATTATGTCCCTTTCTCCTTAGAAGCAGCAGATGAGTTATCTTTGCAATAAATGTAAGCTTGTAGCTAGCTATCAATGTGAGAGGGTCAGCCACCTAACCCATAGGTGCAAAAGGATCAATAGGTTCTTATTCTGAAATGTTGACATGTTAGCCTAAAATAAATGAATGGTCTGCCTGTTATCCTGCCATGCTTAACTTCAGGTAATGACCTAGTTAAACTATCTCGAGATAGTTTAGATGTGTCTACAGATAAATGAGCAGTCCAAAGGGAGTCCTCTCTTCTGTAGGTTAAGGGAAAGGATAAGAGAAATAGCGATAACAACCGTTATATGTGAGGTGTGTAGTCCTAGGTACTACACACAGAATACTTGATGGCTGTCTGTCAAAAAAAACCTTCCAGAAACTGCATAGTATAGGATCTAAAAGAATTTTTTAAAAAAAAAAAATATAATACTGTGGCATGAACCTAGGGCTTTGTGCATAGCAGGCAACTTTTATACCACAAAAATGGATTGGTAGCCCCCTTTTTACTTCTAATTTTGAGACATACTCACTACATTGCCTTAAACTTACTGAGTAGCCCAGTTAAGGCAGATAAACTTGTGATCCTCCTGCCTTAGGCTTCTGAGTAGTTGGAATTACATGATGACATTACTATGCCTGGGTAGGTTCTACCATGATCTTGACTTGACTGTTGGTAAAACTGAAGCCTCATATGCTCAAGGTGACGCAGCTAAAAAGAGCCATTCGGGACTCAGGGACTCTGGCATATAGTATAAGGCAGAACATGAATGTCACGGATGTCTGTTTTTAAAAAGACTTATTGTTTTATGTGTATGACTGTCTTGAATGCATAAGTGTTTTATATTGAGGACAGGATTATATTGAGTAAGAACAGGAAAAACGAAGGGAGGAAATAAGAGTGTCTCTATGCTGAATGGGATGGCATACACTTGTAACCCCAAAGCCTGGCAGACAGAGACAGGGAACATGAGTTCAAGACCAACTTGAGAAACACAATGAGACCCTGCATCACAGAAAATGTATTTTTATACTTTATATTTTGTACCCTAGGCCAGATGTATTAGTCTCATTATCGTGTGTGTGTGTGTGTGTGCATGTTCATATGTATGCAGGCACAGACAGATGTTGAAATCCAGAGAATATCATTTTCTGGATTATGGGGGAAAGCCATTTCTGAGAAAGGGCCTGGAAATGAAACAATGTGACAATCACTCATGAAGAACTAATCAGACACACTGATAGCCCCTGACACATCCTTCTCAGTCAGAATCTTCTGGCGTTGGCAGGGGTGGTCTAGCCTGGCACTGGGAGGTCGTAAGCATAGTTCACTAGCTAGGCAACTCTTTCCTTTCTTTCTGGGCTTCTTGGATGCATGAGGATTTGTCAGTTGCGTATCTGCACAGGGCGCCCTCTGCTGGCTCTACTGTAACAGTCTGTTTTTCATTTTTAAGTTCAAACAGGAAATAAGATGGAGGACGTGTCAAGAAGACTGACGGCTGAGGGAAAGGACATAGACGATCTTAAGAAAATCAACAACATGATCGTAAAGCGGCTCAACCAACTGGACTCTGAACAGAACTGAAAGGATTTTCCCCCAAGAGTGGTCATCGATACGGGAGCTTCTTACTTGCTAGAAGTACACCAGGTTAAGGACTGAGAAAGTACAGTGCTTCAGGCAGCGGATACGATTATACCTCCTGTTTCTAGGATGGAAATAAAGCCCAGGCAAGGAATTTAAAGATGGCAGCTGAAAAGGGGTGAACTTGATTCAGCCGTAGTGACTGCTAGCTGGCTGCTTCTGTTTTGGTGGGGTTAGAGCACAGAAAAGAGTCAGCAGCAAGAGAACTTATGAAACTACTTTTTGAAAATAAGCTTGGTTTAAAAGACTTTCAATGTTCCAGTGAGGTCTCTGATACCTCATGTCCCTGTACAGATTCCTGCACAAGCTTAAAAAACAAACAAACAAACAAACAAACAAACACGGAACTGTCTGTGTTGAGGCGAACCAGGTGCTCACTCTTTTCAGTAGTGTACATTCTTCTTGTCGGGTGACACACTTTGATAACAGCTTCCCGGCGCTGCTCGGTGATCGCAGGAGAAAACATGGGTAGTATGATGTGCGTGAGGTGAAGCTGAGGGACAGAGAGAACGCCTATGTTTCCTGAGCTCCTGCTTTGTGAAAATCATCTGGCTCTAGAGACCCTACCATACACACGTGCAAAGAGGGAAGTATGTCGATTTATATATAATCTATAAACCCGGCTAGCTTCGTCATGAAAAAAAAAATCCCTTGGTATCCTGTTCATGGCTTTGGAAGAACCTGGCTAGGTTTGTGTGGCCTTCGCTATATTAGAGTAGAAAATTGTGTATTTGGAAGCTTTCTTGTTTTAGCAAGAATAAGGTATAGCTGTGTATGACAAGATTGAGGCAAAACAGATGCGTTTAAAAGCGTGACTTTTTTTTTTTTTTTTTTGAGACATGTATAGCCCTGGCTGTCCTGGAACTCACTCTGTAGACCAGGCTGGCCTCGAACTCAGAAATCCACCTGCCTCTCCCTCCCAAGTGCTGGGATTAAAGGCGTGCGCCACCACCGCCCGGCAAAAGCATGAATTTTTATTTAATTAAAATACACTGCTATGATTCAGTTGAAGAATTATTGATTTTTTTGTCATTTTGGTTTATTCAAAGTATTTGAATTTACTTGAAAATGAAGCAGTTGCAAAACCACATTTTTAATAACAGTAGATGATGAAATAAACACGAAGAATTTTACTTCTATTCTTTTTAATTATTAGTTTTTACACTAAAATGTTTATATTGTATACTTTTTCTTAAAATTGATCAATATGCAGAATATTAAAAATATAAAATTTGTAATTACTGAGTCATATTGATCTGTTAATGGCAAATCCTTACCGTAAGGATTTATTGGAAAATTGTTTCAAAAACTATGAGGTCTGATGGCACAGCTCTAAGAAACCATTTATTTCTCTCTACTTACTCTACTATTTTTTTCTTTCTACTTACATGGTACACATTTTTATGCTCAGTAATAAATGATCTTTATTCAAAAGCATTGTGAATTTTACAATGTGAAGCATTTGAAAATATAAATATTTTAAAGTGGGTTCTGAGGTTAAAACTCGGTTCTTCATGCTTGCAAGACAGGAGCCCTCTCTGCAGCCCCTGAAAGTAATTTTATTCTTCTTTTTCATCTTGCTAATATTGTACATGCAGATGGAGGCATGGCGACCACTCTGGCATTCACAGTCTGAAAAATACCATAGCTTGTAGTATTGTATTCACAAGTCAAAGACTTCTATTGAGACAGGAAGAGCTCTGGTGGGGCCAGAGAGGATGCTCAGCGGGAAAAGGGACTTGCCAGACCTGGTGACCTATATCCAATCCCCAGAAGTCAAATGTCAGGGAGAGAGAGAAAAGGGGAGAGAGGAAGAGGGAGGGAGGGAGAGAGAGACAGAAGGAGGAGGGAAGGGGAAGGGGAGGGGGGAGGGAGAGGGAGAGGGAAGGAGGAGGGGTAAGGGGAAAGGAGAGGGAGGTGTGTCATAGGCTCATCTGTGTATACATAAACAGAGACACACACACATATATTCACACTATAGTTTCTAAAAATGTATTGGCTGGTTACATGGCAATATCAAGACACAGCAGGTAAGACATGGGCTGGCAATCTCACTTCCTGAATCAAGTCCTGGTTGTTATTGCTAATTGTGACTTTGGGAAAATAATTAGTAAAGTTGGATGCTTATAAAATTTATTTTACAGTATTATTCTGAGGCTTTAGCGAAGTGACAAATGTGAAGGAATGAAAAGTGTTTGAGACAAGAACAATTTGTTGAATGTATTCAAAATACTAGTCTGTATTGCTAAATGATTATTGTTAAAGTATTAGACATGGCACTATGGAAATAAACTGATGTATTTAAACATAAGTCTATTGGTAGAGACCCAATTATTTTTGAATGCTGTTTAAGATCATAGCATCATATCATCAGACAAAGGATGCAAGCAACTATTTCAAGAGGTAATAGGTATAAGAGGTGTGTTGTTTTCATAACTGTTTAGTCTGGACAACATTAGAATCTATTGTTGCCATCCTGAGATAGAATTAAGACCTGTCTCCACTGGACTTAAAAATGACTTGACCACAAGGTGTGGTAGGAGGAGGGAACCAGGTGTGATGGGAGGAGGGAGCCAGGTGTGGTAGGGGGAGGGAGCCAGGTGTGGTGGGAGGAGGGAGCCAGGTATGATGGGAGGAGGGAGCCAGGCATGATGGGAGGAGGGAATCAGGTGTGGTGGGAGGAGGGAGCCAGGTGTGATGGAAGGAGGGAGCCAGAATATTAAAGACAATTGCAGAAAAGAAATAGGAGAGACTGGTGACACATCTTGATGGGAAAATAAAGATTTTAATGTTCTTTCAAGGCATTTTGTGTCTATAAGATGCTGAGATTTCTTTCTGTTAATGAACTTTTTCTGTGTCCTCCTTTAATGTCCTCTTTCAGCTCTGATAGAAGGATGGTACAGATGTTCTGACACCAGGTCCTCAGAGATGCACTTTCTCTTTGGCTATGAGGACCCTGGTAGGACCCTCTTTCAGACCTGGCCATGGCGACTCCCTGCAATAGGCTTGCCCCAGCCCTGCTCAAAATGTGACACCTGGAGGCCACTGGTGTGTGGGCTACCAGTAACTAGGAGGACTTTGTATCCAGAACTGTTGGTGGACAACAACCTCCAAAGCATCTTTTGTAAACAAAACAAAAAAATCAGGTTTAAAGAGAACACAAATCTTGGGCTAGAGAGATTGTTCAGTGGTTATGAGCACTGGGTGCTATTCCAGAGGACCCAGGCTGGATTCCCAGCATCCACATAGAGGCTCACAACCAACTGTACTTCCAATCTATGAGGTCTGATGCCCTCTTCTGGCTTCTGAAGGTAATGCGCATATATACACAAACACATGCAGGCTAACACACCTACCAATACATGAATCCTTTTAAAAGAAGTCTGATTACAATATAAAAGAAATTGGTTAACTGAAACAATGAGAGCCTTTTCTCATGAATTGAGGCAAAGAAGCATTCAAGTTGAAAACCAATATGTTGAAGACAGCAAGAACTAGGCCTTTATAAAGGGGAAGGCAACTTTAAGAGTAGAGACTGTCTTACATTCAGCTAAGATATTCTCTTTTCTCTTTAATATATATGTGTAAGTATTCATATGAATGCATTTATACATGTGTGGATGTACAGGTAGACCAAAGTGAACCTCGGGGGTCCTTCCTGCCTACCTTGTTCTTTGAGACAGGGCCTCTCACAGGTCTGGAGCTTGCCAGCTAGGCTTGGCTGACAGGCCAATGAATTTCAGGGATCTTCCTGTCTCTACTTACACAATGTTAGGATTATAGGTATGCTACATGCCCAGGGCTACATGCATAAGCTCTTGGTTTTGAACTCAGGTCCTGATGTTTGCTGACAAGTACTTTTGTGATTAAGATAGCTCCTCAGCTTCTTGTTCATTTTTCTAAAACAATTCTTTAAAAAGATGTCTAGGGATTTTTCTGTAGACATTTGCCGTTTGGCCAGACATATGAATAGGAAGATGAAGGCAAATAAGGGTAGAGAAAGCAGCTGCGTCACAGGATACAGAGGCTACCTGTAAGTAGTCTCTTTAAGTATCTGGCATCTTCCTAGGTGAAGGAAGACATGAAAGAGTTCATGGTATAAAGAATGAATGGCTCTGTATCTCAGTTACTGTTCTGTTTCTAAGAGGAGACACCGTGACCAAAGCAACATATAGAAGGGAACATTTAATTGAGACCTTGTTTACAGTCTTAGAGTCCCTGGACACCGTGTTGCTAGGCAGACTTGATGGTACTGGAGCAGTGGCTGAGCATTTTACATCAGGATCCACAGACGGCAAGAAGACATGGGCTTGGTGTGTAGGCACACACTTCCTCCAACAAGGCCACGCCTCCTAATTCTTCCAATCCTTCTCAAATACATACACGTCCTGGTAGCTAAAGACTGAAACCTGTAAGCCTCTGGGGGTCATTCTGATTCACATCACACAGGTTGTAAGGAACACAGGATCAAGTTTAGAGGACGGGAGTTGCAGTTATAATTGATCTCTTTATCTTGAGCTCTCTGGTCCCCAAAGCTCCTTTTAAGATATTGAAACATGTTTCATTATGATTAATGCATGAATCCTCAAAGGAACAGATTGTGTATGTTTATCCCTACAAGACTATGCTTTCTGGAGGTGGTGGGTCGCTTCCACAGGATAAAACAAAAACAAAAACAAAAAACCCCAAAAAACAAAAAAAAGCAATTACTTATGACTCCTTCTCAGCTGTGAAAAATGTCAAAATTTTCATGCTCTAAAATTATTTTTGAATATTGCTATAAACAAACTGAATGAGAATACTTTTTTCTAAATCTAGCAAATTAATTTAATATTGATACATTAGGGTTAATTTCTGAGTTACTGTATGTCTGTTTAGGGGCTCAAAAATAGTTTGTCTTTATATAGTCAGAAAAAGGGTAATGGAAAGGACATGAACAACCT